AAACATTAAAACAATTTCTTAACAGGGGAGGTAATTAGATGTATTGATTTATTTTATTTTTCTTGCTAAGGATGCACCCTATCACTTGAGATACCCCCTTCCCCTGTCATTTCACTTTCTTGATGATGTCCTTTGCAACAAAAAGGTTTTAATTTTGATGAAGTCCAGTTTATCTGCTTTTTTCTTCTATTACTTGTGGTCTTCGTATTGTATCTATGAAACCAAAGCATGTCCTAGGGCCACAAAGATTTATACTGTGTCTTCTTTTAGAAAGTTTATAGGTTTAGTTTTTAGGTTTCTGTCTGTGATCCATTTTGAATTAATTTTCATTTGCTATATAAAATATGGGAGCCAGTTTCCAGATTCATTCTTTTGCCTGCAGATAGCCAGCTGTCCCTGCACCATTTGTTGAATAGACTATTCTTTCAATGGAGTGTTGTTGGCACCCTTGTGGAAAACTGACTGTAAATGTAAATTATTTCCCCCTGGGTTTTTATTGTGTCTCATAGATTTATTTATCCAAACTTATGCCAGTACCATACTGACTTAGTACTATAGCTTTTTAGTTCCCTTTAAAGTGAGTCCTCCAACTTTGCTCTACTTTTTCAAGATTGTTTTGGCTGACCTAGGCCCCTTGCACTTCCATATGAATTTTGGGATAAGTTTTTCAATTTTTGTATAGAAGTCACATGGAATTTTGATAGGGATTCCACTGAATTTGTAAATCAATTTGGGGAGTCTTAACATTTTTAACAACATTGTCTTCCATTCCATGAACCTGGTATGTCTTCCATATATGTAGATCTTTTAAATTTTATTTTGGTGATACTTCTAAATGTTCAATGTACAAATCTTGTAAAATTTTGTTAAATGTATCTCTCATTTTATTTTTAATGCTGTTGTAAATGGAAAGGCTGAGCTTCTTGTGGGTAGGACTATATATCAATTTGAGTATTTCTAGGATTCCTTCACAGCAAATACCCTAAGTTTATATTTGCTACATAAATCTATCCACAACTCTTCCTA